ATAATGCCGGGTTCACAATTTCGTTGGTACGCCTGACCATTATTTAACTCCTTTGTCAAAATTTACTTCGCCGTATTACAGTGGCGATTTTCCTGAAGAGTCGCTTTCATACGTATTCCACTTTAGGGATTTTAAACCCTTTTCTTCCGCGTTGAAAATTAATTTTCACCACGAGTATCGTTATTGTGGTGCTTTGAGGATTTTTGTATTATCATATATATTTATGTATGCTGCTCGTACTAAAGGCTGTTGTATCGTAACGTGAAAATACATGAGGGGCAAGTGGGGTTGGGACATTAAGGTTGGTCTGAGGATAAAACGATGCATGAAAATAAACACCATGAATGGAGTTACCATGGAGATTAGAGTATAGGAGTCCCATCTCTAATAGGGGAATCAACGAAAAAACGACATCAGAAATGCGTCGAAATAAGAAATTCACTATTTCGCCGATGGCGTCGCTGTTGTCAATAACTAACATATATATGTATAGATATAGAAGCGATGTAGATTATATATATATATGTATATCTTTTCGCCCGGTACTCTCCCCACCATCGGCGGTTTCACTAGCGGAGTCAGCGCCGCAAGTGTCGTTTCGGGCAACCTCAATTTTAACAGCTTTTCGGTGCCATACCTTGTGTACAGAGATGGGACTCCTCTACTCTAGTCTTCATGGGAGTTACTATAGGAAAAAGGGAAAAATACCCAACTCTAACTTTACATATAATTGTTCTACATTCAGCTTGTGTTTACTTGAAAAAGATTTTTCACGTGCATAAATAATCTTGGGTATAGGACTCCGAAAAACAATATGCGTTGATTTCCTTTACCCTGAGAATGAAAAAAAAAATGTGTCGCATTTGAAAAATTCACACAACGAGCTTCGTTGATTTTGTGGATCTGCTTTGGGGGTAAACAAGATTTTTGTTTGATATGCTAATTGAGGGAGCGAATCACAGCATCCACTTTCAGAGAACCGAGATGTGTTCGCAGTAGGTGCATTCGGAAATAATTTTTATTTGGAAATCAATTGTTATTTTTTTCACTTTTTTTTTTTCAAAATACCTTTTTTCTATTTTCTTCTTTTGACAACTCAATGGATGCGTACAGGTTAGGTGTCTGGGGTCCAGATGTGATGTATATGTATGAATCGAACCGGATGTCAATCCCTTCTCAACAACTGTATATAAGGCGAGATTAATTTTTGGAAAATCAATTCTCCCGTCAGGGAAACGTTACGCACGATTTAGTTATCTGCATTCACATTCTCTGCGAATCGCTGCAGGTCCAACCGTTTCCCTGTCAATTTACATTTGACTGTGATATTTCCAGATCCTCGAACACGATATGGCGATTCCCATGCCACGTTTAATCAAATACTCTGATTGGATGCTCGATACTCGAATGAATTTAGTATCTGGATATTCGATGAAAAATTACTGTTTATTACTAGTCGAGTTCTCTCAGCCGTGATAATTCACCAAAAACCCTCGAATATCCCGCCGCAAAATTCTCCATATCGATAAAGTTACAAACAATTGCATTGATTTAAATATCGAAATCCCCAAAGTCACATACGATACTCGTTTAAACTCCCGCCGTATCTTTAGCCGTATCTCACGCGTGTAAAAACGTATACGTACGTGAGGAGAAATTTTTTTTAAAAAGTCCCTTCAAAAAACGTAAAACTCATCTTATAATTTTTTCAAAATTTCATCACTCCCAAGCATATTCCGTGACCGGGTATAAATTTTTCTTTCGCTCCAAAAAGTAGAGAAATGAAATTGGATCCAGGGCTTACGTAAAAGCTTATCAAATTTTTCGCAAAATGACATAATATTAAATTAACAATATTTTTACTGCGCTTTGAAGTCAAAAAAAAATTGTAACAGTATTTACACGTCTGATTAATCAGTCACGTCGTCTGAAATAACACCGACACTCGAACGGCACGAGTTTTGCCTTCTATAGTTCCGAAACGAGTTAAAAGTTAGGTTAATGCAATTTGCAAAAATTCAACTATGCGCTGGATGTACTTGAGACTTAGCAGTCATAACATACCATAGGAAATTGAATTTACGAGAAGCACAACAAATTCCATGGGAATACTTGAAGTATTATATTCACCATGTAAGTAAGTAGGTACCCATGACGTACTGTAAGGATCCTCAAGGAAAACCCTTGCAACTATGGATCTAATATACAACCCATATGCGAAAGCCTTGACACATATGAACCTGCACGTGAAATCATAATTCTTTTTCTTTAGTCGAGGCAATTTATATGTACAGCGTATACACTATATAGCTATAGATATAAGAATATATATATATATATATATATATATATATATATATATATATATAGAAGGGAAAGGAAGGGTGGGCAAAAGACTATCGGGAACTGTCTATAAAGGTGGCAAGTTTTTTTCGTGCCGAACAGCTGCTCTGCATTCTTTCAGGATGCCCATAAAAAGTTGGATGGTGGGACGGCTGCAGAATACAAAGAATCGCGTAAGAGTGTTCGACGATCTGTTGACGATGACAAATCGGCGCCTCGTGCCGACGACACAAGGAGCGATTATCTGAAGACCGGTAAAAAGTATCTTCGTTGTTCTTGTCCATCCTATACTATATCGTAGCCAGTCCATCCTTGTCTCTCTCACTTACTCGCACGTACTTTACAAATCGAATGTTCGGCAAGGGAATTTTTAATAAGCTTTCAAAAGGCCAGGCCTAAACGAAAGCAATTTACCTGAATAAATTATCTTATCTATTTAAATAAATAGAAATTTGGCGTTGGCCAATTTTCGAGATGATTTTACTTACGTATTGACCACTTTGAGGACAGGTGGCCGTTTTGAGGACTATACTCAAAGAATTTTCAGCGTAACGGCAGTTTTGAGGACTGTGAAGCGGCGTGTCACACCAAATTTTTTGAAACTTTTTTTAATGCTAGGCGGAGTTGTGACGGGCTTAAAAAGCATTACGTCAGGTCAGGATAGGGTAGAATTCCAATGCTGTGATGTCCCAAGGTTTAGGTTTATTTTTTTTTTTTTTAAGAACGCATCAGCTCGCTATTGCGAACGTCGCTTTATGATACACTGTCCTCAAACTACACGAACGCCATATATATTCTGCCCTGGACCAATGGCTATGTATCCATAACTTTGAATTTCTAATATTTTTTTTTTTCAATATACAGCATGATTCAGACTCTACCTACCAATTGAAATTAGTATGTCCATTTGATGTCTGTGACAGGACCAAGTGAAATTGGAGATTTATTACAATTCTCCAAAATTCTTCCTAAAATTTGTGTACGCTGACAGGCACTATAGAACATTGGATTATATAGTTACGCGATATCTAGTAAACATCTCAAAAATGTTTCCGTCCTTAATGTTCATACAGATGTAGGACAGGGTCTAGGATTCTTCAACCTGAACCACTGCCATCCATTTCCTCTTGAACTAGCGCAAAGCCATAAACGCCGAAAATACCGTAAAGGCATTTGCGATAAATTTACGAAAGTGGGTTGGAATAAAACCCCAACCGCGAGATCGTTCCACCAGTACAAGGGGCAGCATCCCCACGAGTGGTACCAGTACTGGAAGTACGAGCGATCCAAAAGTGATGAAAAATGAACCCAGGTTCTTTACGAACCATTCTGCCTTCAGTAGGAAAATAAAGCAATCCCTCTTTTAAATTCGGTCCTTGCATCGTTATGCGCGCTTCGTTGGTTACGTACGGAGGAAGCTTCAATTAGTAGATAATGATCGTTCCTGGCAATGATGCATTCTGGGAGAAGGACCGCGAGGGAAACAAGGGCAGGGAGGAAACTGTCAAGAGTAAAACAAAAATTTAAAAGAATATAGATCCATACGGTTATGGAGGAGAGAAATTGGCACGAAGATTGGCCAATATCCTGATTGCCATATTCTGATTGCAGCCAAAATCAATAGAGCAGTTCGTATGTAGATACGTGTCTAACTACTGGTGATCAGGAAGTTCAGGAGTTCTCATTTGAGCCGTTCGAAAGGCTCGTCGTGTCAAGTGAGTGATCGTCGGGGGCTCAACCGCGGATTGGATGGGTAAGTGACAACTACTTGGAATACATGGCGCATCGTCATAGCTAAATTACATGTATATATATATATATGGTGTATATATATAATACGTACTGGAGCTCAATAAGAATTCTTGTGAAATCGTTTGGCACGTAAATCGAAAATTCATTCGCCATCGGCCTCACCCTCAGGAATGGTTCAGAAAGATTCATCCCTCCGGGACGAGTGAGTGACGGCCCTGAGACGAGGACCTCGTCATCATCCCCAGTGATGGAGGTGCTGGAACGCTATCAGGGTGAGACCGAAAAGACGGCGGAAGATCGATCGTTAGGCGGCCCTGCTCCTTTATAAAATATTTTGTCGTCATTTTCGAGCGACTCCCTACCCCCATGCAATATACAGTCTACCCCAATGGCATCCTGTCCTACTTTTATCACTTTTTTAGTTTTAGTATGAATGACCTCGAATTTTCTTAGTCCAAGGAGGGACATCGGGTTCTCAGTTGGTTTTAGTTGATTTTTCTTTTCTTTTTTATCTTCCTTTTTCTCGTCGACGAAAAATTCTTCCTTTGAATATGAAATGCATTCTAGGAAAAAGTTTCTCTAACGAGGAATCTATCGTGATTCATGAAACTGCCGCTAGGAGCGCTCCCATCCATGTTTCGTTAAAAGTGTCTTATTTCCCTGGGACGAATATTCATAAGCCACTCGCTGAGCATTTTGGTAGCGAAAGCAGAAAGAAATTAATGCATTTGAAAATGAAGAGGATGCACGAGATATCACGGTATAGAACCGTTTATAGTATCGAGAAATGATACAGGCGGATGCTGCGCCTGGGCGGCTGTAATGGAGCATGAAATTTTGAGATAATGTACAAGATGCATTGAGGGATGCTGAAATGCATTAGTAATGTGAAACTAAAAGCGATATACATGATATGATAAAGATATCGATGAAATAGTTAGAAGAAAAATTAAACAGCATCCCTTAGTTATTTTCAGCAATTACGTTTCAAGGACGGATAACGAATTTCTGTAAAAATGGTCTACCCCAATTTTGAAGGGTGTCTATTGTAAAGAATCTCTGGGTACTGTTGAATCCATTTGAGTATCCTCGGCGTAATCTCCCACATTGTTCGCACCCTTCCCGGTCGCAAAGTTCAGCAAGTTTTACGGTTGGAAACCCTTCTTGGCCAACCCTTCCTGTCCCGTTATCAGGGACGAAGGCTCGTATAGCTACGCGTTACGGCAAAAGAGACTCGGTCAGATAGAACATTGAATTTTCTGCAATTCACACGCTCGTCCGAACAGAAGCTCCATTCGGGCTGCGTTGAAGCTGCATTGGAATTAGTAACAATTGCGAAATCCGAGTGTTTGGGTTCTATTGAAATTTCCCTATGGAGTCGAGAAAATAACCAGGAGGTTTGTATCCTTACATACGTGGTAAATGGGTATCTATTGTTAGACGATCTAATGGGTATGTGCAGTTTACATACGTATGTATACTGATATAGGTAAATCGGACAAGGGATCGATTAATGGAAGGGTAAGTATCCCCTGAGTTATCTCGGAACGTTCCGGTCGTATATTAACACAGGGTTGCCATTACAAAAAGACGAAAATCCCGGCCGAGGGGGTAGGAAACTTCTCTGGTAACTTTAGGCTTCGGGTTTTCCACGCCCGAGAGCGAGGGCGAGAGGGACAGGGAGGAAGTGAAACTACGTCACTTCCTTACCCGTCTCTTATGGCGGACTATAGTTGTTTGCCTTGAAAACCATCAAGTTACCAGGGTTCGTCCTAGATTGGGACAAAATACTTTTTTTCTTATCTTCTGGCCATCCTACACTCCAGCTTGGTGAAACTCTCTTGGAAGACTGACTACTGCAGGGACATTCTTTTCGAAGTGTTGCCAACATCCAGGTCTCGTCGTTAAGTTTCTTTCGTGCGGGTAGCGCCTTGAGGGAATTTAGAACATTGGTGGAAACTTGAGTAAGGTTTGAGGATAAAATCAGACAAAGTAACGTGGATCTTAGTCGATCGGAACATTTTGGAATTATATTGAGAATTCGCATTAAAGTCGAATTGGACGTAAAGATTTTGTAGCTACATGTGAACTCTCCAGTAGGAAAATTCTAAAATGAACGATGAAAGATGGTGTACTTGGGTTGTGAGATCCATTCATATTTGAGGGGCCTTCTCGTTATGCGCTTGTACGTAAGAGAGTCCTCCGAGGCTGAAGTTAATGTTAAAGCATGACTGTGGTTCGCATGAAACTGCGTCGCTCAATGAAAGCGACTTTCTGCGAACTTCTTAGTCACTCATCTTTCATAACAAGGAAATTCCGAAAGTTTGTCTTTTCTCGCAAATTTTCTATTACGGTACCAAACTTCACTGACACTTCATGAAGTCTCGAAACTTTTTCATGTTTCGTTGCGCACAAGACACGTGGCAATGCGTATTGCCTTTCGTTGAGAACTGTATGAGGGAATACTGGAACGTATTTTTCATTGTCGCATTAAGCGCATTGTGAACTAAGCCTTAGGTAGGAATTTGCCGTAAATAATCTTGTTAATGTCTGCCGGGCAAATTTACGAGACTTGGATTTCGTTTTCCCTTAGGTATCACGAGAAACGTTAAATTCGCACAGTGGAATCCCCATTAAGTATACAATGCATTATTAAACCGGAAGATCAGGATCATAGCTACTGTAGCAAATTCGAAAAACTATAGTACAATGTTTATATATATAAAAAACTATAATGCAACAGCACGATATTTTGACTACGATTGAAATCCACTAGATCCTTTCATAAGCAGCTACGCTATCTCTGATGAAACCAGCCGGAGATAGAAAGTACTCAAAGCAACCCTTAGGCCGCCCGAAACCCGAACCGCAGGCGCGGTTTTATGCTTTGAGAAATTACATTGGCCAACACAGAGAAACCGGGAATAGCGAGAGAAAAGAAATTTTTTAAGTAACAAAATACCACAAAACCACTATAGTGACAGAAATTTCGACGGTGTCGTTGAAAATATTTTTTATATCAACAAAATTTCCTTGATAAACTTTTTTTTACAAACTCCACCTAAAATCGTTACTCATGTCAGACACGCGATTCTGTTTTTTTTTTTTTTTTTTTTTTTTAATCCGCCAGATTATTCTGTATCAATTCATAGTTTAACGCGAAATCATTTTTCATGTGGACGAGTTTCCTTACTGAAGGCTTTATTTACTTATTGATTTGAAATTTGCAGTCAAATATTCCCACACAACTTTTACATTATTCATTTTTTTTTTTTTTTTTTTTTTTTTTTTTTTTAATAATCCGCCAGATTATTCTGTATCAATTCATAGTTTAACGCGAAATCATTTTTCATGTGGACGAGTTTCCTTACTGAAGGCTTTATTTACTTATTGATTTGAAATTTGCAGTCAAATATTCCCACACAACTTTTACATTATTCATTGCCTCGCCTATACTTTCATCATAGACGTAGTGCATTATGCTTTCGGAATAGTTCTCTCCTAATTTATCATTCTTACGTGATATAGAGTAACTGTTCTTTCGTCAATCAATATCGTACCGACAGGATACAGAAAACATTCGGTTTGCATTGAAATGCGTTTATACTTAATATAAGGAGGTTGAGTTTAATATCGAAGCCATTCCAATGGCAGAAGATACTATCGATTGCCCCGTCACTTTTGTCATCACGTTCCTGTCTGTGCAAGGGTGTGTATCCGTTTCTATTACAAGTATGAAAGAATCGGGAACAATCGGGTCGAGGGTTGGAAGTTTCAATGTGAATAGTAAACACATAAATAACGAGGTCTGCCTCGGTCGAATGGCTGCGAATAGTTTGGGAGTGGAGAAAAAAAATTCACAGATGAATTTCAAATTTCATTCTAGGCGAATGACGTGCTCGCATTCTCTTTCTGTATTGGTCGTGTCTGCGAAAGGACTGGTAGGGACCGCGAGAGAGAATTTTAAATAAGCAAAGAAAGGACAGGAAGAAAACTCGTGGCCTGAAGTTTTCTTTGTTAAATTTCGTATCCGCCCTGAGGCTGCTCCCTGCATATTGAGTTACGTATCAAGAATGTTATATTGTTATGTTTCAATTTCGCCTTATGTTATTAATTACTGTATACTGCCCCACATTGACCCTATGGTAATTTTGGAAATTGAAAACCGATCCTTCGTTACAAACTTTTTTTCCAATTGCAAATTCCTTTCCACGACCGGGCCTTACAGAAACTAAAAGTTGAGAACGGCGCGAACATTTGAATTACACCGTATACGAGTATGAAAAAAAAATATATAAAATCGAAAATAATTTGTGTTTAGGTCAATAAAAGATAATTGACAGTAATAAAAAAAAATTTGAGATACATGTGATTGATTCAAAAACTGTTACTGTAACAAAGAAAAATTGTTGCAAGGGATTGCGTAATAATTGATTATCCTAAATTGAATTTCAACTACAGCAGAGCCCCTATTGACTATCAGTTACCATAACGAGCCCTAAATTCACCTTCCAATGAATACATCAGCAAGTCCAATATCGCTTGAACTTTTGAGCGGTAAATACGTTTTAGACTAACCCTATCATTGACGAAATTTACACAGAAATTCCCGTCGTCCTCCCCTTCCTTGTCGACTCGTAATCGTGCTTTCGATTCAACAGGTAATACCGGTTACGAATTAATTCAAGCTATTGAAAATGGCCTTGAACACCAGCCAGTACCCTTAAAACTCTCTTACTCTATTACTCCCTTACTTCGTTATACACCCTCTGTAATTTGCTCCTGTCCGACGTAAAGTAGCATCTATACAAAGTAGAAAACAATAATACTACAGAAAGGATATCTCAAAGAGGCAAATAATAAATACATAAACAAATAAACATGTATTTTTACACAATAGCAAATGAAGATTAAATCGAGCAATAGTATATTCTCTGTGTACCGAGGGGTTGGTAAGTACAAGTACGGCTGCCCTTAGGTGCTTCAGATTGAGGGTTTGCGTATCTTCCTGTTCCTCATTGTCGTCGCCTGTTAATGACGTCATTATATGCATGGACGACTGTCGCGTCGTCTTCATCCTCCCGCCGATAGTCCTGCTGCCGATTTTACTACCGGCAAGATTCCCAACGTCCTCCTTGCCATCATCTTCGCAGCTGGTCGCCACGTAACCCCGCGAGAAAGGACATGCCATTTTGCCGCTCGTTGTAAACACAACCCAGCAGCGTCGCTCGAGTAGTTGTTTGTGCGGGACAGCCCTAATTAGCCGGACATGCCACGCTTGTTTATCTACGATCAGCTGTAGCGACAGCGAAGCAACTTTCGCTCTCTCTCTCTCTCTCTCTCTCTCTCTCTCTCTCTCTCTCTCTCTCTCTCTTTCTCACCTACTCCCACTCTTTCTTCTCTTTCCTGAGTTCACCCTCCTCCACTGCTGTTCAACCCCCTTACTTTCCCTCTTTTATCCTTTAATCAACTTGGACGATTCACATCGCCATTTCCATGCAAAACTTCGTACGATCAGCTGATCGTGTTCTTAGATTGGTATCGATCGTCATGTTTGTTTGTTTATCTTTCACTCAAATCCCACTACACGGGTACTTTATACAATAAAGATCCAGTGTCTTCCTTTGTTCTACAATTCTCTCGATTTATCAGTCTCTCTTCGATCGATTTCTTACAACGATCTTGGCAGATAGAGTATCACGAAGAAAAATCAGGATCCGGGCGTGCACGGCAGTTCATCACGGGATTGATGACATAAAAAGCACCAGGAAAGAAGGATCGTGACAGTCGATTAAAAAGCACCGCGTAATCGCGTCAGTAACTGCTTCTGATTAGTAGGTGCGCGCGTATCATCACACTGATACATTTACGAGCGTGGATCATCGAAATCATCATGCAACGGATGCCGTGTCTGAGCGCGTAGCGCCATACTGGTTGAGAATTGACCGAGCAACCAGCAGCGCCAAGTCGTATGCCTCGGGTGGGGAGCCGAGCGCAAACGGAAACGCACGAAGAGGTTAAACGAGAATTCCGAGCGGAGCATTCGAAGCGTAGCTCGTACCAACGCGCATGCGCGACTACGCTTTAACAATCCTGGGTACTACGGTCACCTACGGCTTTACTCTCCTGCTGTCCCACGTACAACCCCTCTGCTACACACCACCGCGCCCGACACAAGCGTGCTTTTCACCCCCTTACGTTAGTCAAGATGCCTGATGCCTACGAGAGTTTTAGCCTCCCAGCCTTTCGTCTGCCCCAATTTCTCGCCATGCTTATACCTACATTTATAATAGTACCACTTAGTGTGTGCACTTGACACTAGGTCTCGCTACCTACCTCTCTTATACACGTCTCTATACGGTTTGCATTCATCCTTTTCTTTCTCCTTTTCTTAATATTTCTATCTCCTAAACTTAATATATTTCTTCCTTGTTCTACTTTTGCTTCTGTCTCCGAGAGTTTTCAATACGTGTCACCACGATATGTACGACCCACCCTGGTTCTCCTGGTCCTCAAACCTATACCTTCTCATTGGTTCAACCCACTCACCATTAGACACCCTCATCCCTTACCTTCAGCTTCATCCCTTACCTTCAACTGTATGTATATATATATACACGTAACTTGGTGTAAAGCGATTGATCGGTCTCATTAGCTCTGCTGAGATTTTCGTTAGTCTCCAACTGAGGTTAGAAATGTATATGTCATATAGGTATACCGTAACATAATAAGTATACCTATTTTTGATACCGACGTACCATTAGAATATTTTTATACGAAAAAATTGTCGATTTCGCATTTCCTTGTTCGTTTTACAGTCTTTGTCCGACGATAAATTACGTCATGGTGATTGCTAGGTAGTTTTGGAATCCTCGTACGTGGTACGTAATTTTTATGTATTTCTTTTTGCAATTTGAACTCTTGCAATTTCAATTCACGTATGCGTACAAGGGTTGCGTATGGCTGATGTACGTAAATTGAAAATATGATATTAAGAAGCTACTTGAATAACATAAACTGAGTTTGAGATGGAATTAAACGTATTCTCTGTTTACATATAGATATAGAAAACTCTCTCGTATCGATATTTGTTCACGAGGCACTTGATCACACAGAGGGTCGTTAGAAGGAAACTTAAGCCCCTGAGGCCAGGGATACCAATATTCTACATTGACAAGCCATTCCGTCGGGTATTGGCAGCGTCTAAATCCTGATACTTTGATAAACTCTATTATATATAAGCTGCCATCAGTTTCGCTTTGATATACTTCCTTATTTCTTCTTCTGACTAATTATTGACACTAGAAGATCAACGAAGAACAATATATGTATACATATGTGTGTATATATATAGATCATATCGATCTTCGATAGACACAAGTAGCATTATATAAAAATCATAAATAATAACAACGTAAATCTGTAACAAGGCTCACTAAATCAATCAACGGATCTGTCAATAATTTAAAATGTAACAAAAGAGATTATTTTGTAATAAAAATTCTCTAGCTTCTTTTTATTATTATTTTGATTATACAAAACATCATTTTGTATACACTATTCAGGATATTAATTTAATTGATCGTAAACGTTTTATAGTTTTTTTTTTCCTGTAAGGTTAATCTCTTTAAAGAAATTACTTTGCGAGATAAAAATTAATCTCATGGACCATCGGATCTTGGGTTGTCGATTAAAGGAAATTACGATCTTCGATTGTCATCGAAATCTTCATTCGTTTGCTAGAATCGCTGTCGCCGATTCAAGTTCCTCTTGAAAATTGGAGAGCGTTCGGAAATGCATCGAGAGTTCTCCTGTCTAATGGAGTATAACTGGTATGGGGAGCAATTTGATGAAATGTGCACAAGGACTCTCTGGATCCTGGTTCCAAACCGGAGCGCACTTGGTTAAGCTTCACTTTGATCTGAACTTGCTCAGAACTGGTCCAGTCCTCATTGCATTGATGCAGTACGAGGGCCAATTTTAAATGAGCGATATTATGGCCACTTGGCATTGCTAATACTTACTACAGAGCCTGTACTCGTGCCTGTCTCTTATAGCTTCCCGTAAGTTTAAGGTATCGTTAACCAATGAGCATCCAGATTTAGGATATAACTGTGATTCCTGATTGGCTAACAGTATCTTCAATTTAAGAGACGCTATAAAGACGAGTTATAAGTATGGACTGGATAGCATATACTATATTTTTATTTTGTATTTTTTTTTTTTTAATCAAAACGTTTTTTTCGTGGTAAAATAATGAAAAATGGTAATTTCCAAAAATTCGAGAATTTCGTACCAAGCGATTTGTATGATTAGTCAAAGATAGGACGGTTGGTAATAACGCCTCAATTTTAAAATTAATCTCATTAAAAAAGGAATGTCTTTAGTTGAACAAAGAATCCATACCGTAAAGGGTAGAATGGCGAAAGTCACGGCGCTAAGTTATAAACGTTAATTACTTTTCTATCTGCCTACTTATTAGCGGGCAACTAATAAAAAAGTTCTGTCAAGACTGTCTTGCTATCAGGACTATCCACTCTCAGAAAACTTAACCGGAACGATCGTCTTCATCCGTCTTAACTTTTTCATGCTGCGTAATAAAAGAAGCTTTATAAGGCCGCTGCGTGAGATTGAGCTTACGTCCGCTCATCATAGAGGCGCGACAGTCTAGGATAAACGGACGGGGCTTTGATTTCAATGACGTATCCGTTAAACGATCACAGCGCCAAAGCGTTTCTTTTTCGAAGCTAACCTCCAAGACGTTTTACGTTCCGATTAAAGACGTAATTATCTCGCGAATGAAATCACTTAATTTTTTCCCTATGCTCAATCCGAATAAGGCTGAATGGATGATGGAAAAAAAATTTGTACGATTTTTCGCGTCCCCCCATTAGTTCGCAAAAGGTCAGCGAATGGAAATAGATTTCATTTCTCGAAAACTGACGATGGACAAATTCTGTACTCATGATGAGCAAACTTTATTCTGAAAGCTATTTATCGTCCAGCATCCACGTTAGCTCCTGTCACTTTTTCCGTTTCGTACTTTTCTCGTAACCTAGTATTCTCGTTTATCTATATATATTTTGTATTTTTTTATAACCTAACATAACCTATACGGTTGTTACGTCAAATGTGGAAAAATATTTCCCAGTGGGAAAATGAAAAATGTTTTACACAGGAAAACAGATTTCCCACTGGACACGGCTATAGCAACCAACGGGCCACAGGTACCTTAATATTTTTGGATATATCGTTGCTCGTCCTTTCCGTATCAAATCTGTCTATATACAGGGTGTAACTTCTCCGGGGTCCGATAAGGGATGAGCCCAAATCGGCTGAGGATCCGGCTCCTCCTAATTTATCCTTGTTGTTGTAGGAATAATAATAATAATATTGCAGTGTACCTGGCACACGTACCAACACAATATTCTAATCGAACGAGGTATAATTATGATAGTGATAGGGCTCCTTCCTTATCGGACCCCGGAAAATTTACACCCTGTATAATTCGATTAAAAATTTTTTTTCTCTATTATTTTTATTACTCTCGTCCTCTAAATATTTCGTCATATTTTCTTAGTTTCCGTCTATTTCGCGGGAGTAGAAAATACATCGTACTGGACTTTTGATTACGTAAACAAACATACCCGCAGGGCATCCACAAAAACGTCATACTGGATCAGGATAACCTTATCAGAACATATCCGAACAATTTTATTACAAAACGAAAAAATTTCGTTAATTAAAGAACAGGTGCGTTTACCTACACTCAGCAATTTTTAAAATTAATTTACACTAGGTTTAATAACGAAAGAAGAAAAAATGGGAAAAAAGGTAAAAGAAAAATTATCGTAAATTATATCCATTAAGCGTAATCAGTATGAAGATAAGAAAGTGCGTGTAAAATTTCGACAGCTAAAAATCGCTAAATCAACTTTCAAATTTGACGATCATTACGAACGAGTAGCCATGAAAATTCAGACTTGTTCAAATCTTGGCTTGCAAATTCATACGAAACTTTTTCTAACTCGAATAATTCGAAACTTATTATGATCGGTTTTCATTTACATAACACGAAACGTAATCTAAATATATTAAATGAAATTTACCGATCTAGTCGCAGGAAATGCGGCAGTTTCCATGTATCTCTTTCGTTACACGTTCACGTCCCCTTAGTAGGTAACCCCCAGCGACGGTTGGTCCTCTGAGCCCGTCAAGCCCAGTTTACAACGCTTACCAAGAGCGCGACATGAAATTCAAATTGCTATGCGCCACTACGTTACATCCTATGCATAATTATCCAGTCGAACAACAGCTGTCTAGCGAATTGGTAATTTCATATCGCATAGCATCGTTATGCATGAAAACTTGACTTGATAATGTCAAGTTTTTTAAAAAATTTTTTTAAGACTTAACTTTTCGCCCGCGGTAGCGATTCTCACTTTTTAATACTTTTCTTCTTTACTGCACTATACGGAAAGATCATCCAACGGCTGTCGTAAGGAACTCACGAAATTTCTAACTTGGAAATTACTTCAACCTTCTTCGCGAATAGTGAGCCGCTTACGAATACTTATGCAGAAACTTGCGGAATATCGGTACACTGAATTTCTCTTGCGAATTTCGAACAAACTCTTAGGGCACATAATAGGTTATTAATAGGGAAGAGTAAAGAATTACTTAAAAACATTTTTTTTAATCAAATTTACGTGGGTATAAACTCTCATATTATATTGATAATATATATCGGATATTATACTATCCAATTATGTATTTAGAATTTCTCAAGAAAATACATATATATATATACATATACATTTGACTGACTTTAAAGACTAATTCTCTCGTTTACTCCGAAATTGTCTTACACGTCTCAATCAATACCTACCCGATATCCAATCTCGAGCCGGATCAGTATTAATC